TGTTTACTTCACTCTGTTTTTTTTTTTTTTTAGTATGAAGGAGCAGTGAACGAAGGTGCGAGAGGTCAAAGCGTGTGGGATCATTTCTCAAACAGATTTCCTCATAGAATCAGTGATTCTAGTGACGGAAATGTCGCCGTCGATTTTTACCATCGTTACAAAGTTAGCTTCTTGTTCTTTTTTTTTTTTGGATTTCTTGCTTCTTAAGGTAATTAGTTACAATATTGAAGATCTATGGATTAATTTCTTGTACAGGAAGATATCAAAAGAATGAAAGATATAAACATGGATTCTTTTAGGCTCTCCATTGCTTGGCCACGAGTTTTACCTTGTAAGTATATCACCGTTTCGAAAAATACTTATTTTATCGACATTTATCGCGGTTTTCAATATCGATTAATAATTTGTGATGGTTGATTTTGCGGAATACGAAAAAAAAAACAGATGGTAAAAGGGAGAGAGGAGTTAGTGAAGAAGGAATTAAGTTTTACAATGATGTTATAGATGAGCTCTTAGCCAATGAAATCACTCCTCTTGTTACAATCTTTCACTGGGACATTCCTCAGGATCTTGAAGATGAATATGGCGGTTTTCTAAGCGAGCAGATTATGTAAGCAAATTCATTTATATGAACTTTGAATACGAGGTGGATGTATCCGTTTGAGAAATTTATTTTATGTGATGTGTATATACAGAGATGACTTCAGAGACTATGCGAGTCTCTGCTTCGAAAGATTTGGGGACAGAGTGAGTCTATGGTGCACATTGAATGAGCCATGGGTCTACAGTGTTGCGGGTTATGACACGGGGAGGAAAGCGCCAGGACGGTGCTCCAAGTATGTAAATGGAGCTAGTGTAGCTGGAATGTCGGGATATGAAGCATATATCGTGAGCCATAACATGCTTCTAGCGCACGCAGAAGCAGTGGAAGTGTTTAGGAAATGTGATAATGTAAGTAGAGAGTTGCATTTTTCCCCTAATTTGTTGTTGGAGTGATCTGATAGAATACTTTGCAGATTAAGAACGGACAAATCGGGATTGCGCATAATCCGCTATGGTACGAACCTTATGATCCGAGCAATCCGGATGATGTAGAAGGATGTAGTCGAGCTATGGACTTCATGATTGGTTGGTAAGTGATTCAAATTCTGTTTAAAAAACTTCAATCTTCTTAGTAAATTCTATTAGGAATCCTACATTTAAAAATACGAATAGAATAATCAATTCAAAATACGCATTCATTCATTGTCAATTAGTTTTGAGGTAAACATTCACAAGTGTCAAATGGATTTTGATTTGTTTTCTTGTCGCGGTATTTTTGGCAGGCATCACCATCCGACTGCTTATGGAGACTATCCAGAAACAATGAAGAAGTCAGTCGGAGATCGATTACCGAGTTTTACACCAGAACAGTCCAAGAAACTTATAGGCTCTTGTGATTACGTTGGTATAAACTACTATAGCTCGCTTTTCGTAAAGACTATCAAAGACGTGGATCCTACACAACCCACTTGGAGAACTGATCAACGCGTAGATTGGATGAGTATGTCTTT